CAATCTTGATGTTGTTCATTAAATAGCTGAGCTCTTCTATTCGCACATTTATTATTCATAAAGTAAAGCGAATGATATCTACCCTTTCCGCAATGGAATAAACCATAGTGTTTAATTTTCAAAAACACAATGAATCAAACTACCAACCAACGCTTCCAAATATAGAAAATAATTTGGAATCCACTAATTTTACGTTCATTGTGTGTGTATTGCATTCATTTCTGTTTTTTACAATAGTGTTTTTTTTTTACGAAAGTGATAACAAATCGCCAAAAACCAATGTAACGCAAGAAATACTAAATTTATACCATTGGCGTACTTAACTCGAATGATTGACATTTTTACCGTTACTAATTGTTTGTACATAAGTTTCAACTAGAAGAAATATTACTCAACCCCCAATGCCATTTAAATATTTTGGGGTGATGCTTACCCTTGCTTGGTGGTGAAAGTGGCGGAGTCAAAAATACCAGCAAAGAATGTCCACCTTTAATCCAAAATCGACGGGTCTAAGCGTTTTTCTACAATCTTGACGCAGTTCCTGAAAATGACTCTGTTTCGTTTTCATTTGGCCACCCTGTATACAGCAAAGCAAACTAAATTTAAGAAAGTCCATAGGTATTCTATCTAATATTTAACATGTACCTATTTTGTATTTTAATACGTAAATGTGAATACATTTCTGTAACGTTTTGTTCGCCTTATCTGACATACTACTTTAAAACAAATCACTTTTGAAATGATTTGAGAATAACCATGGAAACGCGTCATACATGCCAAACACCAATGTATAATAGACTCTTTTAGTGTGACGTCACATATTTAGGCAACCCGCAACAAATTGTCATAGTTGAAATTGTACAGACCGAATCTGATAAAAATGAACAACTTCAAATTCATTTATTTTTACATGAATTTAGAAGTATTTAAGAACAACCAACACATGTTTTGTAAAATAGCTACAAAAAACTATTGCTTTTCTTGGAGTTGTGCTGTGTCAGCGTGTTTATCGAGTGTTTTTTTTTCTTCAAGTGGTTTATTAGAGACGTATTCTTAAATCTTAACCAATAACAAACTTTTCTTGAATGATATCCTGTTGCAAGGCTACTTCGCTTACATGAAATTATATTTAATGGGCATGCTCAGTAACATTAATATAATTTTAATTTATTAATTACTATAAAAGTCAATATTGTTCTATAAATTTAAATAAATAAATTCTATAACTCTTTTAGTTTGTCACTTAGGGTTTGAAACTTCTTAAATATTTTTAATATTGCCAGCATATCGCGATATTTAAGGTCATGATAAAGAAGACATTTTTTGGCACATGTCCAAAGTATATAAGGTCGAAAATCGATGTAGTAAAAATATTGGGAAATTCTTCATGACAATGTGCACTATGGGCGTTGCCTATTATTTGGCGTATGTGACGTCACTACTAAAAAGGTGTATTGTCAGCATTGTTTATGTTCTGTCAATTAAATTTATGCCGATAAAATGTACTCAGAAGAAAATCCCGAAATTCCCGATAACATCATACAGCAAGTGGAACAAGCGAACGCAAATTTATTACCACTAAAATCCAGGTCAAGATATGAACACGAATATAAACTTTTTACTGAATGGTGAAATCTGAACAAAATCAAAACTGTAAGTGACGATATTGTTTTAGTTTACTTTGTCGAAAAAGTTAAGTCTATGAAATCTTCCACCCTATGGAACTCATTGCTAGAGTTGTTTGGCCATAAAAGAAAATGCTAACATCAACAAATATCCAAAAACTATTGCTTTCTTGAATACTATAGGATATATACCAAAAAAGTCCAAAGTTTTAACAGCAGAACAAATAACCAAATTTTTGTGTGAAGTTCCAAATGAACAATATCTACTACCAAAAGCAATTTTAGTGTATGGGATCTCTGGTGCATGTCGAAGAGATTATTTAATACGTTTAAATTTAGACGATGTGGTAGATAATGAGCGCTTTTTTGTCGTGTTTTTACGAGATGCAAAATCCCATACATCAATAAGTTTCATTATTACCAATGAAGGATGTACATTTGAGCCCTGCACACTTTATCGTAAATATGCAGCTCTACGACCCAAAAATGAACAGTGGTGGAACATCAGTGGTGTTCCGAAAATTGTTGCAGAATACCTAAAACTAGAAGATCCTAGAAAATACACCGGGCATGGACTAAGGCGTTCTTCGGCAACTGTGTTGGTGGAAAGTGGCGCTGATTTACTCATCCTGAAAAGGCACGGAGGATAGCATTCTTTCAATGTAGCAGAAGGATATACCTATAGAAGAATCCATATAAAGAAAAATTCACGAAACTATTTAACCCTTCTCACTTGCAAAATACAATAATTGTATCATTCGTTCGAGAAAATCAAAACATTTGCGAAGAGTTTGCTTCAATAACGGCAGTTTCAAAAATGAAACTATGAAAGGACTAAACCTGTGTAATAATACAAATTGCACAATAAACATAACCATTAATAACTATATAAATTAAATTAAAAATAAATTCCTATAACTGTTATGCATATGAAAATGTTCCAAGTTTCTTCCGTATGTTTTTCTGTTATATTTTGTTTTTATGTTTTCGTTTTCAAAGAAGTATAATAAAAAATATCGTTCACTACATATTCAGAAATAGATTTTTCCGTGATTTCTTCCCCAAGCATTTGTCATACGCACACGGAAAAATCCTTATTTCCAGATTCCTAACGAAATATACTATTTTAGTCGTGGAACAAAATTTCCATTCGTGAAATAAACTGAAAGTTTATACACTTGTTACACAAATAATTATTCTCATTCAGTTTTAATTTTCGTTTCGTTTAACGCTTCTATTTGTATTTCCTGTTGCAGGAACGGGCCATCCGTTCAACTAACAACATAAACACCGGCGCATCTAGGGCGAAAGAAGCGAGAAATGAAAAATCGATACGGTTTCCTTGGCAACAAAACAAATTGCGGAGATATTTCCTTTTGAAAAAGCTAATTTTTACAGGCTCGGAATCCGAGGAGTGAGCTTTTTAGACGTCAGATGGGGATAAATCAGCCGCGGCAGCCGAGAGATCTTTTTAGATTCAATGACCCCTTCGGCCTGGAATTGAGATTGGATGAAATGGAAAATTTAATTAGGATTAAAGAGGAGGATTTGCCGGGAAAGGCCAGAAGTTTTCGTAAAGCGCCTGCGGAAATGTAAGAGGCACAAAGTTTATAAAATAATAGACGTTGAATTTAAAAGAGTAAAGGTAAAAAAAGAATATTTCAAGAATCTTGAGCTACTTTTTTGTCTTAGAATGTTTAAAGTGATTTAAAATGTATCTTCTTCTCAGCTATTCTTAGGCTTACATGGAGAAAAAAATAACGATTGGCACATACTGATAAAAATTAAAAATAGTTATTTATGTTTATATCTAAAAAATATTTCTCAGAAAAATGTATCCTAATAGATTTATAAATAATCACCTAAATAAAACTCTCAGAAACATAGCGTGATAATATACGGGGTTTGTTCAGAAAATATCAGAACTTTTTGAATTACGCGCTAATGCATATATTTAATTATATGCGGTTGGCAGCATTGCATTGGTTATAACCTCCTCTGTAACCACATGTTCTTGAATTGTCGATATCTCATTTAATTTTTCGTGACATTATTACTTGAGTCCAACATGTTTGAATGTTAGTGTGCGATTTTCTGGAACAACGATGCACGTAAAATTTAGCGTGAAACTTGGTAAAACTTTCACGAAAACATTTGAACTTTTTAAACGATTTTACGGAAATGATGCTCTGGGTCGTACGCAATGTTACGAATGGTTTTCACGATTTAAAAGTGGTCGTCAGTCAATTTAAGAGTTGAAGAAGATCTTCGATCAGGAAAGCCTTCGATCTCATCTGATGAATCCTGAATCCAAGCAAATCACCGATTGATTTTCGGAGAAACTGCAGAAGGCGTTAGCATCTCAATTGGGTCATGCCATGAAATTTTAACTGAAAAATTGAACATGCATCGATTTGCAGCAAAATTTGCTCGTTTGATGACCAAACAACAGAAACAAAATCGTGTGGACGTTTGTCGGCAACTTCTTGAACAATCCAATGACAATGAAACATTCATTCAAAGGATCATATCGGGAAACGAAAGCTGGGATTACGGCTACGACATTGAAACAAAGTTCAATCATCACACTAGATTAGCAAAGGATTTCTACGTCCCAAGAAGTTAGCCTCGATCCAATGTCAAAGTGATGCTCACTGGTTTTTCGACATTAATAGAATTCTTACCACAAGGTGAATCAGTGAACCGCATTTTACAATGGTTATGTGAAAAAATTAGTAAAAAGAGAACAGAACTATTATTGCGGGATGATTCTTGCACCATGAAAATGCGTTAGCTTTGTGCCAAAAATCAAATTACTATCTCACTAATCCTGGAAAATATGATTCATGGGTAACCAATGCGGTACAAGAGTCCAGTACAAAGCTACAACTTTTGAATTTCTTAAAAAGACCTGCCCAAATTTAAACACTTTTTCTAAAGTAAAAGTGGATACATAAAACTAATACAAAACGCTTAAAGGCAATTTTACCAAAACAAATTTCAAACATCTGATAATGTATACAAAACAGCATGAAACACTGTAATAGATTTGTTTAACAAGACTAAAATTATTAAACTATCACTATATTAAACAAGTTGTTTCGGGTAATTGATAAAATTGATAAAATATGAACAACTAATCAAAATAAAACTATTTCCCAATTTAATATTCCTTTTAACAGTTACTGTCTTTTTCTATAACCTTTTGTTTGTTGCGGAATGTTATAATTCCACTTAATAATAAACTAAAAACTAGCTATATCTCTGTTTAGTACAAAAAACAACTAACAACCAACCAAAATGAGCTTATTCATTGTTTTCACTTATGTATCTACCTGAATCTTTTATTTGATTACATTTACGTTGTTCACTTACCCAAAAATGATTTTCAAAACATGATGCAAAAGGTTGTTCTCCCTCGGCAAAAATTTGTAACTAGCTTCACAAAGCGACCTCAGTATACAGGATCTTCCATCGTAGCCCATCCTAGAAATAACAAAAATTATTCACTTTAATAACCCGGAAGAAAATGGAAACCTTATTTTCCCAAACGCTTCTTTTTCCGAGATAAAACTGTATTTATCACATCAGTTTTTTTATTACCATGTCAACTACAGTAGTCTTGGAAAGCTGATATTTCACCTACTATCAACAAGCATATAGGGTGATTTACAACTTATCCAGAAAAATTGGGAATAAATGCGTCATGAACAGTGGAGTCAATATTGTAAAAAAAATTGCAAAATCCTTATAGTTTCCGAGAAAAATATTTTTCATCGCTAGGCTACTGTAGTCTCTAGCCTCATTTGCGTTATGCGCTGTACGCAATGTATTTTTTCCACGTGGCCCCAGGTGATTCCGAATAGTGTTTACATTAGTTTTTAAAGTGTCAAAAATGGCTTACGATTACAGCAATTCGTTTTAATTTATGAAGCAAGACAACATTTGTGTTAGTTCCTAGAAACTGGGTAAGCCCAAATGTGTTTACACGTCGGTGGATCAAATTTTGAGCAGATGTTGTAATATCAGGTATGTCAAATTATTTTATTAATTAAAACCACAAATAAAATTTATTAATTAATAATAATAATAGCGGGAAAAGCAATTGAATTTACTGATATAAAATGTGTGTTATGGTGAAGTAAGACAACATTTGTGTTAGTTCGAAACTGGGTAAGACGGGCTTAAATGTGTTTACACGTCGCGTCGGCGGACCAAAGTTTGAACAGTTGTTGTAACATCAGGTACGTGAAATTATTTTATTAATTAAAACCATAAATAAATTTTATTAATTAATAATAACAATAGCGGCAAAAGCAATTGAATTTGCTGGTATAAAATGTGTGTTATAAAATTTTATTTCTTTCCTTGGGAAAGAAATTCTTTAAATTTTTTGTCTGTTTGTGCTTCATGCCTTGCGCAAGGTCAGGTTTTACAGTGGACCAGTTTCCAGTGCCGGGCAGAAGATTTTTAAATCACTTTCGAACTGCCCTTTTTTTACAAAATTGTATTTGTAGTGCCCTGTACATTCAAAAATTTTTTTTGGATATGCTTTGAATCACCTTGTATACGTACATAATTACAATCGTCTGAGTAAACACAGTGTCAGAGAAATGGGGGTTTGTTTAAGGTTACCGTCAAGTAAAACATTTAGGGTTAGAATTTAAAAAATTTTATACCATCTTTCGATTACCCATTTCGGATTTTATAAAACGTGAAACTAAGACTGTCTGTTGAAAATTATATTTACAGATGAAACAACCGTGGAGTTTCCAATATTCACCACCACTGTCACTATACAAAGCATTACCAATACCATTTTAAATAAAATTTTTAGGCTATAACATGTGCAAAAGATTTCGAGGTGAATTTATACTACCACATAATTTCAGCAACAATATGAATCATCAATGTTTGAGTTTTTGGCGGATATATCCCTGCAAAGCACGAGATGCTTGTGGTATATGTACGATGGGGCTTCATCCCATTAAAACAAATTAGCAAGGTGATGGTTATTCGAACACTTTCCAGAACAAAGCCTAATACAAGTTTTTATGAAAATCTTACACCGAATGTTTTCCTTAGAATTAGAGAAACTCCAGTTTTTGCAGAAGATTATAATTACCTATGTAAGAATGTGTGCATTGGTAACTTTCGAATCTTCGTAAAATATCAGCTTTGCGAGTCAACTGTACTGGAAGTTGTAATAAGGAAACTGATTTAGTGAGAACCGTTTTATTATTTAACTTAGAAACAGAAGCGATTATAAAAAGAGCATATTTCTGTGACCTCCTTAACATTGTCCCTAAAATTATTCTAATATACTATGTTTGGGGACACTTTATGTTTAGTTTCTATTTATTTGATAATATCGTTTGTGATTATGAAAACATATAAAGATAAACATACGAATTCATAATGGTTTCCATTTTCCCGTATAAATCCCTCCTGTGTCTCCGCTTCAATAAATACTTCGTGGAGGTGTACAACTCTTTGTAATCAGTTGCATTGTCAGGTAGTTCGTACGCCAAGCCCCAGGCTATGCTCTCTGTGAATATGCCGGGCGGTATCACACCTGTCTGTGCTGTCATGCACACCGCTATCTGCAATATATTTATGGATCTTAGAAGAACAACTACTATATGATATAAAAGATAA